GCAGCGGGGGTGGAGGATGGGAAGAGAAAGCTCGGCAGCTGGGGTAGAGGAAGGGAAGAGAAAGCTCGGCAGAGGGGGTAGAGGATGGGAAGAGAAAGCTCGGCACCGGGGGTAGAGGATGGGAAGAGAAAGCTCGGCACCGGGGGTAGAGGATGGGAAGAGAAAGCTCGGGAGCAGGTGAAAATCAGAGATGGAAGAGAAAGAAAAAAACTTATAGAATGTGACGGCAGATAAGAACCATTCGGCCCATCTAGTCTGCCCAATGGGTGAATGACGTGAATCTGTACCAGGAGACATGAGTGAGTGAGATTATTAAGGGATCCCGGAAGCCCAAGTAAGGGAATGGGGGAATATTAACCTATATGGAGGTAAATAAAATGCAGGAGTACTGCAAATTAAAGCAGCACTGTCGCCGTCTGGGGACTTTGATAAATTGGGGGTCCGATGGTCAGCGAGGGAGATTTACTTATCTGAACCTGTTCCTCGTGGGCGTGGCCTTCTTGTTCCGGTGCGTCCTTTTCAACTCTCACTGCAATACACTTGAGCACATTCTAGAGTACAGCGGTGAGGTCTATTGAGAATCCCATAAAACCGTGGGATCCTTCACAGACAGAGCCAATTCCGTGACTGGTGACCACTGTAGCTCTGCTTAGTCTGAGAAAGTCAGGCAGAGGAAACACACAGAGACAAAGCAGTCCCTAGCCTATATTGTCTCTGTATAGCTTTGTGAAGAAAATAGACTTTTGTTTAACATTTTCTTCTTTGTTCGGTCTTTTTCCCACAAGTATTGCATGTGTATTGAATATATTGGTTCGGAACACCGACCACCCTCCTGGCTCATTAACTACAAAGGAACCATCTATTAAGTACTCCCTGGGCGGCCGCTGTTCGTATAGCCGAACGCCTCGTGGAATAGAAAACGTCGGCCATCTTATTCGCACAAGGGGAGTCAGCAGGACTTGGTCATTCGGTAGTTTTGTGCGAATGGACAAGGGGAGCAATCGCTCCTACGAGCCAGGAGGATCCATTCGGGACTTTGTTCGTTTTTTTTTACCTTTCTCTGAATTGACCGACAGCACACGCTGAATTTGTGTAACTGTTTTGGGCAGGAGCCTCGTGTGTGGTCCGTAAAATATGACTTCCATACTTTTTAAGAACCCCTGAACCGATCTGGGTGAAATTTGTATATGTTGGTCTCCCAGATCGGGACTATCAAGAGATATGTAATTTGTGGGGATACCTTGTGGGGAAAGGGGTGTTCTAAGTTTTGGGGAAATTGTGTGGTCTCTGCCTGGAGATAATTGGTTTATTTCTTAACTTATCTCAATATCTCCCAGGCAGAGAGAGGGCGTGTATTACTGTAAATATGTATGTTGATTGGCTGTTGTCTTTGTTTGCTGTGGGAGGTCCTCTTGCAGGAGGATTTCTCATAAAAGCCTGTGTGTTTTCAATAAACTTCATTCCTGTTACACCCTTCATGAAGTCTAGGCTCATGTTTGGGGGATATTCTATTTGCTGGGAAGACTCATCTTGGAACTGCATTCATCTATCCTATTCCTCTGCTCCCTGTTGCAGCTATAATCACTTATGCTCAGCTGTTGGGAAAAGGAACAGAAGACCGCAGCACCACAGCCACTGCAGGTCTTAACTGGTGGCAACGATGGGATTGAATGGAAGGCATAAAGACAACTGGTGAATGGCCCAGCAGTACGAGAATCTAAAAAGGACTACACTAAAGGATCTGCTGGAAGCCAGAGGTCATGTGGCCAGCAACAAAAAGAAAGCTACCCTCTTAGCAGAACTGATGGAGGGCGACCAAACCAGCAGCATGGCGAATGTCAGCCAGGAGGAAGCAGAATTCCAACAGAAGGTGATGTGGAGGCTAAACCTATATGGGCCAAATCCCACACCTGAGATGGTGACGCAAGTCCTGGCACAAGTGAGTGCAGAACGCAGAGCACAACAGGCAAGCTTGAACCAAGGAGACAACGCTTCCTTAGCTGGATTTATAAATGGAGGGCAGCGGAGAAAGATTAATTACGCTGCTTTTAAAAGTTTCTCGGATGGAGAGATGGAAATTGACGCATATTTACAAGATTTTGAGCGTCAATGCGCTTTGGAGGGTCTGGAGTCAGAGCAATGGGCCGCGATTTTAAGCAGCAAGCTCACAGGCCGAGCAGCAGAGGCGTACCGAGCAGTTCCTGACACAGCTATACACGACTACGCCAGGGTAAAGGACATTCTGCTAGCCAGGTATGCCGTGACCCCAGAGACTTACAGGAAAAAGTTTCGGGCATTACGGAAAGGGGGCAGAGACTCCTACACTGAATGGGCCTTTAGGATGTATCGGGCAGCCCAAAACTGGATACAGGGCTGCCAGGCCACAACGCTAGAGGAGGTGCTGCAACTCCTCTTGCTAGAACAATTTTTTGACCACACACCTGCAGACACCAGGGACTGGGTCAGAGACAGGAAGCCGACCACAGTTGAGGAAGCGGCCAAGCTAGCAGACGAGCATCACGAGGGAAGAAAAGGAGAGGCTAGTGGAAACCATCCTCTGGTAAGGTACAGCGCTCCAACGCCA